GGCTCCGTGGGGCCAGGCAGGGCCAGTTCACCTCAGGAGCCTTTTCTGTTTCCTCTCTGGCTCCACCCTTTCTCACCTATTATCTTCCAGACACAGCCTGACCTTCAGTCTGACCTTCTAGGCAAAAGGCCAGACTGCATTCCTCCAGAACACACATGCAACACAGCAAAATGCCTGACCAAGGTATCTGTGGATCTAACTCAGAGGCGCCCTGGTTAGGTCTGGGAGCACCCTGGAGCTTCCTTCTGTCTATCTTAAGACCTGCTCAGTTGAAGACACTAGAGACTTACCATTGGCTGAGGAAGTTTGGCTGAAAAATTCTAATTCTGGGAATTCTCTACTGGCTGCCACCACTCACTCAGCCAAAAGCCCTGAGAACCTTGGTTTCTTTTCTTTTTTTGGTTTTTCAAGACGGGGTTTCTCTTTGTAGTTTAGGAGCCTGTCCTGGAACTTGCTCTCTAGACTAGGCTGACCTCAAACTCAGAGATCCACCTGCCTCTGCCTCCTGAGTGCTGGGATCAAAGACGTAAGTCACCACTACCGTGTCGAACCTTAGTTTCTTGACCTAGGAATTTGTGACTGTTGGGATCACCACATGCTCACATTTTGAAACTTAGAAGATGCTCTCAGCAATGGCCATTAGTCCTTATTTTTTTCCCTTAATTCTGGGCCCCAACATGAGTTCCAAATTCTCCATTCCAAAGTACTCATTGTCAGCCTGGCTCTATGCTGATCTAAAAAGCTCCATTTGGGAGACCTCATATTGCTCACCTCTTGGTCCAAATTGGGCCTCAATATACACTAGACGAATGGACACTGCTGGCCAAACTGGGAACTTTGAAATTTTTGTTTTGTTTTGTTTTTTGAGACAGGGTTTCTCTGCGTAGTCTTGGCTATCCTGGCATTCACTCTGTAAACCAGGCTGCTCCCAAACTCACAGCACTTGCCTCTATCTCCCAAGTGCTGGGATTAGAGGTATGCGCCACAACCATGCGGCTGGAACTTTCCAATTTCTAATACCTAGATTGAATTAGATAACTCCATAAAATGCAATGATAGTATGGGTTCAGGGTCCCTGCCCATGATCCTTTTCATGATTTGGTGGCTGCCATTTCTGGGTCTCCTAACAGAGATAGCACAGAGCTCTTTTGCTTTCTGCTTCTGAACTACTTGTGTTTCTGCCTCTCCAAACCTGGAAAATCCTGCTTGTATCTTTTTTTTTGGGGGGGGGGGGGCTCGAGACAGGGTTTCTCTGTGGCTTTGGAGGCTGTCCTGGAACTCGCTCTTGTAGACCAGGCTGGTCTCGAACTCACAGAGATCCGCCTGCTTCTGCCTCACGATTAAAGGCGTGCGCCGCCACCACCCGGCTCCCTGCTTGTTATCTTTAGTAGCTAAGATGTAAAAGCATTCTAGGTTGTCTGCTCCCATCTGCAGATGCTGGATTCAGTCTTACAGGGATTCAGATGTCTTTTTGGTATGGATAATATTTAAAAATTGTCTCATGCTGTTCTACTCTGCTGAAAAGGTTGACTCTGGAGTCCACCTGCTTCAGACACAAGCATGTTAGCTTTCTCCTAAGTCTCTGTCCTGGTCCGGCTCATCACCTACTCTGTGACAGGAAGGAGAGAGAGAGAAAAAAAAAACCAGAATAGGCAGGAGCAGACATTTTGCACTTGAGGCTAACGAAGAAGTGAATTACTACTTCCCATAGAGGTTCCAAATGGTGAGGTGTTTAACTCTGAATTCTTGCCCCATCCTTTGGGTCTGTTTATTATCTTTAAAGCTTTTGCTGGAACTATAGCATTCTGTATTTTAGGATTTATAAGTTCATTTAGTGTTCAGATGTATTAATTTGCTATAACATACCATGCATGAGACTTGAATTCAACTCTTGTCTTAGAGTGCATGCCAGATGGACTCATGTAGGAGTAATAACACTGTGTGGTTTGCCACCATCTTGGCTGGTGGCCTCATCAGAATGGAACCAGGCCATGTGGTTTTACCACCATCTTAGTTAAAGTGACCATGTGGTATAAGATGGTTTGTTTTATTTCATTTTCCCTACATTAAGGAGACAGTCACTGATTCAGGTTGTAACTTAGGGTGTCCTAGAGTATTCTAGAGAAAGTGTTCATGGAAGAGGAAGCAAGGTGATCACTGTCTCTGGGAGCATTTTTAAATTGAAAATTAAAAAATCATTTCTTTTTGTGACTAAAACTTAGAATTAAATTGTCTCTTTACATAGCCTGACAATATAAAATATATTCCCTGTATATAGCTATAACAATTTTATGCTAACAAAATATGTATTAAGCCACATTTTCAAATACTAGCTATGATCATTTAATGTAATAGGTTCAATTTTTTAAAAAAATACCTTAGAAAATTGCTTATAATAAAAATTGTGTCTTATTTGAAATACTGTTTTTGTTCATTAAATAATAGCTGGTATTGTTAATATTTGAAACAAATATACAAAGTTTATCATACGTGGAAACAAGAACTATCACTTTCTGTTCAGATTCATTCCTTGGATGCTGACTGTAACTGACCTCTTTTATAAAACTTCTGGGTGCTTGTTCCTTATACAGGAGTCTGATATGAACAAACATAATTACAGTTACCTTATCCTTCTATAGAACTCTGATTCAGCTGGGCCGTGGTGGCGCACACGTTTAATCCCAGCATTCAGGAGGCAGAGGCAGGCGGATCTCTGTGAGTTCAAGGCAAACCTGGTCTACAGGGCTAGTTCCAGGACAGCCAGGGCTACAAAGAGAAACCCTGTCTTAAAAAGCAAAAACAAAGCACACAAACAACAACAAAATAAGCCAAATTTATAAAAAGGAAGGAAGAAAAATCATCTAAAAGAGGAAATAGGAGCCATCAAGAAGGTTCCAAGCATAAAAGTGCCTGCTCCCCAAGCCTGCCAACACGAGTTTGAGTCCTGGGATTCACACAGTGGAAGGAGAGAACTGACATTCAGACAAGTTGTCCTCTGACCTCCACACAAGCACTGTGGCTCATGAAAACATATATACTCTGTGTGTGTGTGTGTGTGTGTGTGTGTGTGTGTGTGTAATTGAAAATTTTTTAAAGAATGAAAAACAATGGACACGCTACAATGGAAAAAATGAAAAACCATTTCCTTTGAGAAATGGGAAGTAGACAGAGATCAGTGTGTGATTTTTGTTGTTTTGTTTTTCCCTGGAGCAGGTGGCTTTGAACTTGCTGTGTAGCAGGGGTTGATCTTGTTCTTCTGATCCTCCTGTCTCCTACTTCAATGTTAGGGTGGCAGGCACGTCTCCAGCCCAATCCATGCTGTTTTTCCCCAATACTGATCTTGCAGAACTATCTAGCTCTGTAAAAATTGTGCTTTTGTAAATTTAATAATGAGTCAAAATAAAAGTCAATGTAAATAATGTCACCCCTCAGATGGATCTAGGCATGGCTGACAGGAATCCTAGAGATTGTCTCTTACAATAGATGTTGGATATCTTGAGCCTGTGGTGAATGCCAGCATACTTAAAATCCTGTCAAGTGCCTATTGTGGAAGAAGGGGTACACACAAGTGTATTTCTGAACATTTTAGAGCTAGCTAGAATCCCAATATCTCAGAACAATAACAGAAGAAAGTATTTCAGCCTGAAGGATCCTGACCTGAGGAATGTATTGTAGAGGAAAGCTAACAGTGTCAGTTACAAAGGCTTCCTCAAGTAGCTCATTATAGCTTGATGATGGAATCGTTATTTTATGGCCTTTTAAACGAGAAGTTCCACTGACAACTCTGTCCATGCATTTGATGCCTCTTTCTAAGCCAATGGGATCATCTGCTTCTGAACTGGGCACTCACTGGCAGAACCTACATCCACACCTAAAGGCTGATACTTAGTCATTCAGAGTAACTGTTACTTAATTTAACTACAAAGTAAAACAAAGAAGAATCCAACAAAAGCCTTTCTCATTCCTTGGGACTGAATGTTCTTTCCCCTGCTGTAAGCAGTAATATTATACTACAGCTTTTGGAAGGGAGTGACTAATAGCCTGGGATTTGAGACAATTTAGTTACTATTTATGGTGTAGAGGGGTGAAGATTACATTGAAAAAGTCTATATTATCCTCAGCTGCTCACAGTGAAAGAAAACAGATTGTGAGCTGGAGTGGGCCTACTGCTTTTGTAAACTGCCTCGATCTTCAGAGATTTTTGGTTGAGCATAAAATTTTGTTGTAGCCAGGCATGGTGGCCCGTGCCTTTAATCCCTCCTTAAGCAGGTAGAGTTCCAGGCCAGCCTGGTCTACGTAGTAAGTTCTAGGCTAGCTAGGACTACATAGTGGGACCATGCCTCCAAACAAACAAATAGACAAACAATTGAGTAAACAAGCAAATAAAGATGACTAGTAGACACAGCATATTTAGATATATTCAGTTAGCATCTCTATCCCCCTTTTAAAAAGAATCGTATTCTGTAGCCTAGACTAGGCAGGAACTTGGAATATGCCACTTTCTTGCCTCAACTTTCCTACTCCTAAGTATTAAGACTATAGGAAATGTCAGTTTTATCTTTAAGGATAGGTTAGGGGCTGGCAAGATAGCTCAGCAGTTAAGAATGCTTGCTGCTTTTCCAGAGGACCCAAGCTGAGATCCTGTTACCCACATAGGATGACTCACAACTGCCTCTAACTTCAGCTCGAGGGTTTCTGGCATCCACACACACCCTCACACAGATGGCATGCATGCATACGCATAAATCAAAATCTAAAATTCAGTTTTAAAAGGGAAAAGATCCGATAAGACTTTAAGTTCATCTCATGAATCTGTGTTCCTGTTCTGCATCTTAAAGGGTTTTGTGAATGTACGTAACAGCTAATACCGGCTATGGCAACAGTCTGAGGATCAGAATTCCAAGTCAAATAACCCAGGCTGCTTATGCTGGATGAGTGAGTGTAACGGGGAGGAGAGGATATTGGGCCGGTTTAGCACCTTAACAGGGTACTCTGTCCCTCCAAAGACCTCTGTATCACAAGTCATAATTGACTATGGCAAAGGATAAAATATGCTTTCTTTGGTTTTTGCATTTTTCGATAGGCCATAGCAATTACTTAGTGGATATTTGTTTACTACAATTTATGCGATTCCACAGCAGGGTCAGGCACTGAGTGTCTTTCCATTCCCATCAGCTACTTGTCTCCACTGTGTTCTGTTGCTAGTGCTGTGCTCCTGAACTTTTATATGTAATGCGAAGCTAACAGATCTGGTCACACAACAGCTTGCGAGCTTCTGCTGCAATGTTAATTTACTTTGCCAAGACCGGTAAATGTGTGCAGTGAAGGCCAGTGAAGGCCCGGGTTGTGGACATGCTTCATCAATAAGTAGCAGAGGCTGGGACTGCGGACAGGTGGCTCAGCACTTAGGAATGCTTGCTGCTTTTGCAGATGGATGAGTTTTGTTCTCAGAGCAGCTACTCCAGGTGACTCACCACCACCTGAGACTCCAGCTCCAGGGGATCCAGTGCCCTCATCTGGCTTCCTGCTCTGTCCAGAATCTGGCCCCACTGAACACTTGTGGCATTCACTCACACAGACACACACATGTAAGTTAAAAATAATTAAAACAAATCATAAAAATAAAATAGGTTTGGATGTTTATGGGGCATATGCATATGTGTAACATATATATACATATATTAATATATATAATCAAGAAAGAATAAAAATACAGAAAGGTGTTTCCTTGATTTTTGCTGTGTAGTAACAGTGATTAAGCATTCTATTCTGTCCAAAGTTTCTATGTATATTTTATTCAGTTTTGATGGCTGTGATAAATTATCTCCGTCATCCTACAATGTAAAGTCACTGCTCCTCCATGTCTCAAGTACAGGGAATGCACACGTGGACTACCAGACCTGGCCAACTGAATCTTCTTTTATGTAGCTGAAAGAAAACTTTGGGATCTCTTTTCTTCACTTGTGCATGTAAGTAGTTTCCCCCATGGTTGAAACTTTTCATGAAAATTATTTTTTAATGTCTGCATAATGTTACAGCATACTGATATGTTACTTTCCTTAGCTTTCTCCTTTACTCAGTATGATTCATTCTTTAACTAACCCAGGAGTCTGTAGATGAATTTCTAATGAATAATAAATGTCTTAAGATATTCACATCAGCGGGGTGCTGGTAGCACACACCTTTAACCCTAGCATTCAGGAGGCAGAGGCAGCTGGATCTCTGTGAGTTCAAGGCCAGCCTGATCTACAGATTGAGCTCCAGGACAGCCAAGGCCACACAGAGATGCCCTGTCTCAAAAAAGAAAGAAAGGGAGGAAGGAATGAAGGAAGGAAAGAAAAGAAAAATTCACATCTGTAAACTCTGAAAGAAACATGAGTTATTATACATATCAAGACAACTTAGTCATTCTTGGCCATGGGTACTGTGCTGGCCTGTAAGTATATCTTCTGTTTGTACAATGTATGTACTGTCATCTTTTTCAAAGAGGGTTTGAGGTAGTTTTAACAAATATTCAGAAATAAGGATAGAGCAGGGATGGAGAGATGGCTCAGTAGTTAAGAACACTGACTGTTTTTCTTGAGGACCTGGGTTCAATTCCCAGCACCCATATGGTAGCTCACAACCATGTGTAATTCCAATTCTAAGAGATTTGACAGTCACTTTTTACCTCACTGGCACCACACACATGTGGTCCACAGTCATGCATGTAAACAAAAACACCCAAACTCACACACACACACACACACACACACACACACACCAACCCCAAAACCCTAAATTCTCAAAAGGGTTAGAGAAACAACCATCATGGGAATGATAATGACAATGGCGTTCCATAGAAAACCGAGTTTTCAGCTCATGTGTCTGTAATTGAAGCACTCTGGAGGTAGAGGTAGGTAGATCAGGAGTTTGGGGCCAGACTGGGCTCCAGAAGACTCTGTCGCAATAATGATGATATCATCAACAACAACAATAAGTAAATGTGAATTATGGGAACTTGAACTGCCCCCTTTTAGTTGTCTGCCTGTCTGAAAGCCAGTGCTCAGGATCGTTCATTCCTACGTTCACCTGTCTTTTGCTGTACCCAGAATCTGGACCCCAAGGCCCCTACCTTCCACATTATTATCACAGATACCCTGTTCTGTTTCTCCCTGTGTTTAAATATTCACAGTTTAGTCCTTATTTGATTTTCTGTTTATAGTCAGTGCTATGACTTTTTGAGCAAGTTTTCTTTTTTTTTTTTTTTTTTTTTTTTTTTGCCCGCCCACCGATACTCTCACTGGCTATTTCTTGCTTCTCTGGACGCTCTGGGGCTGTCCAGTATCTTCTTCCCATGGTTCTCTGCCTTCATTTTCCAGCTCCCCTGTGATCGTTGTGTGCATCTTTCATGAGCAACTTTTACTGAGGTCGTAACTATTTCCAGAGTAATTGATTACCTGTGGACCCCCACAGAAAATACAAAGATCTTAGGAATGTTGTCCACACAACAAATTCATCTTATCAATCCTCATGTTATCATCTCTGGTATAAGAACTCAAATCAATCAGTGAGTTTTCTTTTTTGCTTTAAAAAAAAATCACTCTCATTTATTGATTGAGAGAGGTGCGAGTGTAGAGGTAAGGGGTCAACTTGCAGGAGCCAGAGGGTCCTGGGGATCGACCCAGATTGGCAGGGGAGGCAGGCAAGTCCGTTAGCACTGAGTCATCTCACTGGCCCTCCTTTCTCCTTTATTAAGATTCAGAATCCCAGGCTTCCAGGGATTCTTTAACATCCTACGTCCCGTTTCCTTGATGTTGGTGCTGCTTTCTTCAGTTCTTACAAACAAATGCACTTATTTCGAGGCTTGTCATCCGTGAGTCCTGGGGTTAGAACCTAGTGAGCCCAACCCTGGGGACCCTTTCTGTCCTCTCTCCTCCCTGCCCTGGCTGCGGATGGGCAGCCAGAAGAGAGGCAGCCATTTTAAGAGGCCCTGTTTTTCTAGCCACAAGACTGGCTAACTGATAGAGTTGTAAACAAGTCGGAGCCCCTCACAGAGGCTCACTCCCTGGACTGTAGAGATCTGGCTACTGATAGCCAGGTAGGCAGACTGGAGCCAGGCCGCCCCTCAAGAGCTCACTAGAGAAGCTATTTCATCTTAAGAATTGACGGAGAAAAGCTATTTCATCTCATAGGCGTCATCAGAGCCTGCTTCTCCCTGTCACATCTCACTCCAGAGAACAAGAGAGAAGCAACCAGAGCCCGTTTGTTCTGTGCCCTCGTGGCCATCCTGGGAATTTATCGTGCAGTTATTTATTCAATTCTGATAGCTAGTCCAGTACCCCTTTGGCAGGTCTCCTCCCTTTCTGTTTGTTTCACCTGGTTAAAGGTAAGGCTCTGCTATTTGCAAATGAGGGGGTGATGGTTTATATATTTAAACTGTATTTTGAAATCCCTGTAGCTTAGACCTATAAAGTGATAATACCCTAAATCATATCCAGCAAATCACTTTAACTTAAAAAACAAACACACACACACACACACACAAACAAAAAACCAGCTGGGCGGTGGTGGTGTCCGCTTTTAATTCCAGCAGTTAGGAGGTAGAGACAGGTGGATCTTGGTGAGTTCCAGGCCAGCTTGATCTACAGATCGAGTTCCAGGACAGCCACAGCTACACAAAGAAAACCTGTCTTAAAAAAGCAAACAAACAAGCAAACAAAAAAATCACTGCAGCTGAGCAAGTTCGCTCTGCACCCAGGAGTTGGGAGCCAAAACCAGAAGTATCTTAAATTGGAGGCTAGCCTCAGCTACTAGCATGCATAAAGACCCTCAGTTCTATCCTCAGTAAGAAAAGTAAAACCAGACAACAGACAAGATGCAGATCCCTGAGGCCGTCAAGGAAAGGCTACAAGGACACTTTAGTGTTGTTTTCTTCCATGTAGCAAAACACTGTGACCTCACTAAGTGATCTCTGATTGGTCTTCTGTAACTTCATTCTGGATTTTGTTTGCTTGCTTTTTGAGACATGGTTACTAAGTGTGGGGCCTGTCCTGGAACTCGCTCTGTAGATACCAGGTTGGCCTCGAACTCACAGAGATCTGCCTGCCTCTGCCTCCTGAGTTGCTGGGTTTAGAGTCATGTATCACCAACACCTGGGTAGATTTTTTATTTTTATTATTATCAGAGAATGAGGGTATGCTGTGTATATGTCTGACAATCCGTTTATATCTACCTCAGATAGTCAACTTATATTTACTTTGCTTCGATAAGTAATGTCAAATGTAAACTGTTTACTGGAGAGATTCATATTGAACTGACTGCCACACCACTTACTGCAAAGTCACCAGGGAAACAGGTATTGGAGAAGGACTTGACCAAAGACCACACTTGATTTAACTAAATCAACATTTCTCACTCTGTCACTGACAAGCCAAGGCCACTGACAATCTATAGCTTTGTTAGTTTGCTCCTCTGTGGAGAAGTTTTGATCTATAGAGCCCATTCAATACTTACCCCCATGCTTCTAACACTTGTGTTAGCGAGGTCACCAGCAGCAACCCGGAAATGGTAAGATGTGGAGGCTAGGGCACCAGTCAAACTCAGTCAAACCCTGGAGCTGTCACTTTGCAGCTTGGAGTTGGAAGTCCTCTGTGCTGTGCATTAGTTTCTGTGACATGTCCCTGCATCCTAGGTGTGAGGGGTGAGGCATAGGTGACTGGAGTTGTGCTATGTTAGCCACCGCTACTCACCAGAACATTAGATCTTTCAAGGGCAAGGTCAGTGTTGCGTTCATATCTCTATCTTTAGTTCCTTGACATATAGTAGCTACTCAAATATAAATAGAATGAATTGCTAAGTCCAGAATCCAGTTGCGTTTTCAGGTCCTTTAGTCTTTGATCTTACCATGACAGTCTATCAGTCACTCATACAGCAATTACCTTGTTCCAACGGCTAAAAAGTCCTATCCACCTCACAAATGCAATTTACTTAATTCTTACACCAACTCTGGGCAATAGGTTCAGTCGTTGTGTACTGAGACCGAGGGACAAAAAAATTCCACCAACGTTCTTAAGCTTGCGTGGCTAAATGCCAGAGTTAGTACTGGAACCTAGGCAGTCTGGTTTCAGATACTAAGGCCTGAGCCTCTCTTTGCTTCCAGGTGAACTTTCTCAGTTGTTTCCATGCAAAACCAAGCAACCTTTTTATTTTATTTTATTTGTTTGTCTGTTTATTTATTTTTGAGGCACAGTCTCAACACATAGCCCGGGCTGACCTGGAACTTACAGGCAAACCAAGCTGGTCTAGAAACTCAGAGATCCACCTGCTTCTGCTTCCTTAGTACTAGGATTAAAGGTGTGCACTATCTTCAGGCAAAAAACACTCTTTTTATCTAATATCTAATTGATTCGTTGCTAGTTCTTTTTTTTTTTCCCTGCTTGTCTCTGAAGGGTTGATACTTTCTAGAACTCTCCAAAACTATGGTCTTCTTTTATTCACTTGGTGATTGCCGGCTCTAACATCCTGTACTTTGGGATTTCCCAAATCCATATCCCTTCTAGAGAGTCTCTCAAAGGCCCACCACATCACATTCACACGCACAATGGGATTTTCTTACCTGCTCTGTCTAATGTTTCCATTGTTGTGATGAAACATCATGACCGAGAGAAACTCTGGGGAGTTTACACTTCCACATCACAGTTCATCACCAAAGGCAGACAAGCCAGGAGCCTGGAAGCAGCAGCTGATGCAGAGGCCACTAAGGAATGTTGCTTACTGTTTTCCTCCCCACGGTTTGCTCAGCCTGCTTTCTTATAGCAACTAGGACCACCAGCCCAGGGATGGAAGCACCCACAATGCACTGGGCCCTCCCACATCAATCATTACTCAAGAAAATATCCCACAGGCTTGCCTACAGCCTGGTCTTATGCAAGCATTTTCTCAGTTGAGCTTCCCTTCTCTTAGATGACTCTAGCTTGTGTCAAGTTGACATTCAAAACTAGTGAGCACACCCTCCAGGAAACATGCATGTTTTTTCTATTTAATTCTGTAGGAAAACAGTAACACTACCCAACCCATCACAGAAATCAGAAATCCCAGAGCTACCTGTACCTTGGCTCTGTCCTAACTGCTCCCCATGCTGTTGGCATGCATGCCCCGGGTGCACTTCCTAAACACTCAAACTCCCACAACAGTGTCCTCAGTTCTCATTCTCTGATAGCTGCACCGCCCTAAGGGATCCCCTCGTGTCTAACCTGGGCCACCTCCTCTGCCTCAGCGTCTGCTCTTTGTTCCCACAGAGCTTGTGAGGCGCACGCATAGCCCACAGCTGCATGCTTTATGCTTATCTTTATATTTATCACTTTCTCAGTTAAAATGCATTCATGACCCCCCTCTCTTCTTAAAGAAGCTGAACTTCTTACCTGACATGCAAGGCCTTCATAGCCTGATCCTTCCTTCCCCCTCTGCGGTTTTACCCCCTTCCTTCCCTTCTCTCTTCCAAACACGGCTCCTAGGCAGTTCTGCTCCCAGCAGGTGGAGGATGCCCTAGATGCCCTCCATGCTGAGCTCCCCATCGACTCTTTCTCTGTAATGTTCTTCCCCAGGTGCCTCTCTCATCACACCGCCTCTTTCAACAATCGAATCTTCAGAAACGGGTACGCCACGTGCTCAACAACGAGGAGGCAGAAACTCACTAGACTTGACTTCCTTCGCACAACCCACTCTTTCCCCTGGAAAAACTGATGTGTGGACCACTGTCTGACTGGCTCCTGTAAGCATTTTTTGTGTATGTGCATGCGTTGCGTGCACATGATCTTGTGGGCGTGCACGCAGACACATGGGGGTTGGAAGAGGATGTGAGGGACTTCTATCACTCTCTGTCTCCCTGCTTGATGTGGGGCTTCTCACTAACTGGAAGCTGGCTGTTTTGACTAGGCTGCCTAGCCATGGAACACTCAAGATTTGCAGATCTCCACTGTCCCCGAAGCCTTAATGCTGGGGGGGGGTTAATGCTGGGGGGCGGTTATGGGCACATGTAGTCATGCCCAGCTTTTATGTACTTGGAGGAACTCACTCTCTCTTCCTGGCTACAGAGCCAATGCTCTTATCTTCAGAGCTATCTCCCCAGCCCCATTACTTTTCATCTATCAGTTGGAAGAGTGATTCCTGTCATCCTTGAAACTCTGGGGATCACCCTTGATCCCAAAAGTGGTGATAAATGCCTGTGATCCCAGCACTCAGAAGGCTGAGGCAGGAACATGTGCTTAAGACCAGTCTGCTCTTTCTCTAACACACACACACACACACACACACACACACACACACACACACACGGGGGGGGGGGTGGACACGGGGACACTTTTTCTTGGTTACTATTATTTTGTGCAGTGACTATAATATATTATATGTATATTTTATAGATATACATATATAATGTTAAACTTCCTGATAGCTATTTTGTGTCTCTTCCAGACCTCTGATTTCTTTCAGATTTTACTTTTTAGTTGTCCTATTATATGTGTGGTGCCCGTTAGTTTCACGTCCTGGTTTCAATTATCTATGGTTGACTCTGATCCAAAATATTAATGAAAAATTCCAGAAATAAACAATTTATGAATTTCCAATTGTATGCTATTCTATGTAGTGTGGTGAGATTTAAAAAAAATTTTTTATCATGTGCATTGGTGTTTTTGCCTGCATGTATGTCTGTGTGAGGGTGTTGGATCCTCTGGAATTTAAGTTACAGACAGTTGTGAGCTTCCATGTGGGTGCTGGGGATTGAACCTGGGTCCTCTGGAAGAACAGCCAGTGTTCTTTTTTTGTTTTGCTTTATTTGTTTTTCAAGACAGGGTTTCTCTGTATTGTTTTGGAGCCTGTCCTGGAACTCACTCTGTAGACCAGGATGGCCTCGAACTCACAGAAATCTGCCTGCCTCTGCCTCTCAAGTGCTGGGATTAAAGGCGTGCGCCACCAACGCCCGGCTCAACAGCCAGTGTTCTTAACTGCTGAGCCATCCCCCTGATCCCTGAAATCCTTTTTTTTTTTTTTTTAATTTTTTTTTCATATGTATGGGTGTTTTGCCTGCATGTGTGTCTGTCTACCACATCCATGCCTGGTGCTCTCAGAGCCCAGAGAGAGTGTTGGATCCCCTGGAACTGGAGTTACAGATGGTTGTGAGCCTCCACGTGGGTGCTGGGAGCTGAACCATTATCCCCTCTGGAAGAGCAGCCTATGTTCTTAATTGCTGAGCCACCGCTCCAGTCCCAGTGTGATAAAATACCTTGAGCCACTCTGCCCTAGAGGTGAACCCTTCCTTGGTCCAGCATACCCACACTCTATACCCCACCCCGTTGTCACTTACCTCTCCCGTTGTCAGGTTCCCTGTCCTGTTTTGCATTCTGCAGGGGAACTCCTTAAGTAGGGCGGGTATCTTTGGACCAGTGTCCCATGGGATCTGGGAGGTGACAACATATTAGATCCCTATCCAGGTACAGAACCTGTCTTCTGAATTTATAGTAGCAAGATACAAAACATGAGATGCCCTTGGCCTTAGGTGGCTAACAGTGGTGTGTTTTTCCTGTGTTTCTGGCACGCTTGTTTCTGACTTGCCTGCTCCCTTCTCATACTTCCCACTAGGAAGCCAGTGGGCCCCCAGTGAGCATCCTGGTGTATCCTTCCCCTGTTTACCCCCTTAGATCGGGAGGGAGAAATGGGAGTAAAGATGAACACAGCATCCCAAAATGACTTAGCTTGACCTGAGTGATCTTAATCCCTAGAACCCCCACAGAAGGAGAGAAGAGACTCCCAGAAGTTGACCTCCGAATTCCACATATGTATCCTGATGCCCCCCAACATACAGTAACTAAATGAGAACATATAGCATTCATGTCTCTTCCTCTGATCTTTTTTTTCCATTTAATAATGTATAGCTAATAAACACAGCCTTAACCCGTTGTTCTACCTATTTAGTGTTCCCAGGGATGAAGGTAGCACAATTTAGTCATCCTTTCCCAGTTTTCTGTCTCTGTGCCCAGAGCTTCAAGGAACAACTTCAGATGTACAGACTTGTGCACTATTTTCGTTACTTACACAAAGTAGGTTGGAGCATGATGTATTTAAAAGAGAAAAAGAATAGAGAGACACAGCACAGTCAAAGAAATTCAGTAAATGATGCTGGGTGTGGTAGAGCATCCCCGTAGCTGAGAGACTGAGGCAGGAGGAAGGATCGTAAGACTAGCCTGGGCTCCAGAGTAAGACCTTGCCTCAAAAACACCACACACAAAAAAACAGCAACAAAGGAATGAAAAGAAATTCAGAAAATGATGATGATATGTGACTGTGTGGGTACCTAGCAGTCTTTGATGGGAAGTGTTTCCTAGCAACTGGATGGTACACATCACTGAATGAGAATTCATAAGCAAAGAACAGAAGACAGAACCTGGCCCATAGCTTGAGTCATTCTTACAAAGCATGCTTCCTGTTTGGCTTGCTAGATTGGAAGGAAAGCCAGGTGATTTGAAGCACTGACTCTCTGACCCTCTGAGCTACCCGTCTCTGAGGTGACCAATCGTGTGGGACAGGAGAAGAGCTGGGAGTTCAAAGCCAGCTAGCGTTAAGAAGGCTGAGCTGCGGTTGGGAGAGTGTGTCTCTAAAAACAGAAAACAGGCTGGTTGTGGTGGTGGTGTCATCCTAGTATTTGGCAAGCAGAGACAAGAGACAGTAAGACTGCAAATTGCAGGCTAGCCTGGGCTACATAGAGCCTATCTCAATAGGCCAAGAATTGGACTAGAGCAGTAGACAGAACTTGCCTAGCATGTTTGAGGGCCTGGCGTGATTCCCAGTGCTGCAAAACAAAACAGAAACAAGCACAATGGAAACAAAACAAAAACCTGCAATGTGCTTTTCTTTTCTCATTAAAAAAAGTTATTTTAGAAACAGGGTCTTGCTGGCCTATACTTTCTTATGTAGCCAAGGCTATACTCAATTTGGGAACCTCCTGCTTCCTCTGTGTGCTGGGATTACAGGCATAAGCTAATACATCCAACTATAATATACTTTTAGTAGCCTGATATGTATTTATTTATGTTTTAAAATTTTTATTTTGAGACAGAGTCTCATGTAGCCAAGGCTGTCTTCAAAGACGATATGTTGCCAAGGACAGCCTTAGCTCCTGGTCCTCTTGCCTCTGTCTCCTGAGTGCCGGAATTACAAGTACGTTCCATCACATCTGGTTTTATGAGGTGCTGGAGATCAAATCCAGGGCTTTGTCTGTGCTCATCTAATACTGCACTGACTCAGCTACACCCCTGACTCCACAAACCTGAATTGTAAGGGTCTCACCAATTGCATTACTTTGAAGCTGATGACTTAAAATCATGGATGGGACTATTTGAGGCACTGAAAGAGCATTATATAAGGAGGTAACGTCTCTGCCAACCTGTCAGTGTTGTGACACCTGGAGCAAGCCTCAAAGCCGCCTCCTTAAGTAAAATAAAGTTGGCAAGGCTCCTGCCGCCTACTTTGCAGTGTCAAAGTGAGGAACAAGTGGAATTATGTAAATCAAAGCGCCATGAGAACGCTATCCATACAGCAGCATTGTTTATGCTACTCTTTCCTGAGTACGCACTGCCTATGCAGTGCCACGCGTGCCCCCCCCTCCGTTTGTATCGCCAAGAAAGAATGTGTTATTGCTTCAGAGATACTGGCTTTGTAATAGTCATGAAATGGACCACAGAAGCACAGAGTAGTCAAGAGAAAAATAAAATGAAAACAGACTCACATCAGTCACTGACTGTCACAGCTGTGGCTTGGTGGACTTCTGCAATCCTGAAAACAGGTACAAAGCTGCCTCTCTTTTCAACGTGTTGTAGATAAGTGAGAAAGAGATCGTGTGTTTTTTCCCCTTTCCCTTACAACGCTATATTTAGCGCCTGTACAGTATCAGATGTGACACCGGTGTTCTTTTCCTAGTCCTGGCTCTTACCCACAAAGTACGCACCTGCTCGCAGGAATCTGGCTACACTTTGGGTGTTTCCTGTCAATCAATTTCTGTCATTAAAATGCTGAGGAAACTAGCCTATCTATAGGCTAATGTATTTCTATAAGTTATTTACGTCTTGGCACATCTAGACACTGGAAGGACATGCCTGTGGATTGCCTGGTGGGAAGCACTCATCAGGTGTGAGGGTTCTTTCATTCTGGGAATGTGGCACTGTGCAGTAAGACAGAAAGTTGGTGAGGGAGTTCCAGAAGTCTCAGTGCCACTTAAAGACTAGCAGTTGGTTCCCTCCAGCTGTTCTTAAAGAGATTTTTCTCTGCCAGATGTAAATGTAATTAATCGTTATGGCTCCAGATGCTAGTGTCCAATGTTTCTGTTTGATTCTATCCATGGAGAAGAGATGCATGTACGACACTGGGTGGGGGGTTATGGAATATGCAAAGTCGTCAATACAGTGATCAGGATTCCAATAGCTGGTAATGCTGTGGGGAATACTCCACCCTGTACGGGGCCTACATGAGTACTGCGTTTTTGCTTTATTTTGTTCTGTTTTTTGTTTTTCAAGGCCAGGTTTCTCTGTGTAGCCTTGGCTGACCTAGATAGAACTCATTCTGTAGACCAGGCTGACCTCAAACTCAAAGATCCACCTGCCTCTGCCTCCTGAGTGCCGGTATTACAAGTGTGTACCACCACCACTCAGCTATGAGGACTATGTTTAATGTTTTACTTTTCCACTGCTGTGGCACCATCAGGGAGATGTCTTAAGAGAGTCACAGAACCCCTGGGTGAGCTTCAGACTGGTGGTCTGTGAAAGTTGCAACTTCAGATTTTTGCTGGGGTCTGCTTGGCCTGTGTAAAATCTGGCAAGTAGAGAAACAAACAAAAAGAAAAAGGGAAAGTTGAGCCTATGTCCTCTCAAAAAGGAGAGGGTTAAATACATCATGATTTTAAATAGGTAACGGAAGCACAGTGAAGAACTCTGGGGTCACCCTCGAATTCTGCCCAGTTTACCAGAATGAGAGGGAAAACATGATTTCCTCCTAACCCTTCCTTTAGCAAAAACTGACCTTACAAAATTACATATAAATTACATGAATGGCCACAGAAGAGTTATTTGATTTTCAAACTATACATTTCACGAAAACAGTTGGGTTTCTAATATAGACGACATCACATGGATTACGTAACATCCAGGGAGTTTGATTTGATTGAGGAGTTCATTTATTGCACAAAGGAAAATATTCCTACTTCATTGAAAAAATTGGGGTGACCAGGGGCTAGTGGCGACCTGACTTAGTGTCTTCAGCCTGATGACCTAAGTGTGACTCATGAAACCCACGAGGTGCAAGGAGATAACTGACTACAGCTGCCACATGACGCTGTGGCATGCACATGCCGCTGTGGTACATACATACACACAGTAAAGGGGTGTGTGCGTGCGTGCGTGCGTGCGTGTGTGTGTGTGTGTGTGTGTGTGCGCGCGCGCAAGTGCGCGCGAGCATGAGAGAGAGACTCAAAAGGGAATTATTGGAAGAAGGGTTGCTAGCTCGAGCCTTTACCTGCTGAACCATCTTGCTGGCCCTGGCAGATCAGTTTTATTAACTTTCATATGTTAAGATGTTAGGATTTATTTGTTTTAACACACTAACTGCATGGTGCTGACAGGCTTTGGCCTCACTATGTAGCCTAGCTTTGAACTCACAGAGATTTGCTTGCCTCTGTATCTCCAGTGATGTGATTGTTGTGATTAAAGGCATACAGCACACCTCCTGACCTGAGAGTTTCAGGTTCAAGAGTGACATTTAGACCAGAGGTGGTGGTGCACGCTTTTAACCCCAGCATTCAGAAGGCAGAGGCAGGCAGGTCTCTGTGAGTTTGAAACCAGCCTGCTCTCTACAAGAGCGAGGTTTAATATGTATTTTAACAATTTTTCCTATTTTGACGGTGCTGGCGATTAAACCTAGGCCCTCACCCATGCTACAAAAGGGCTCTACCACCACTCTGTATCAACAGTCCTGTCTGTATTTTTTTTTAATTCTGAAGCAGGATTTCCTTACATTAGCCAATCAGACTTGAATTTTTTATTCTTCTGCCTCATCCTCCAAGGTAGCTGGGATTTCAGGCCTGCACCACCAGGTCCAGCTAATGTTTTAAACCCACTGACTGAGTTACAAACAAACAAAAGCTCCCCCCACCACTTTTTGGCAGAGCAGAGAATCAAATTCAGGGCCTTGTACCTGCTAAGTAAGTACTCTATCATGAGCAACGTCTCCAGCCCTTTTAAGTCTTAATTTTAGGAGCTGGAGAGATGGCTCAGCAGTTAAGAATACTAGCTACTCTTCCAGAGGATCTGGGTTCAATTCCCAGCACTTATTGGTTCACACATGTCTGTAACTCCACTTCCGGGGGATCTGATGCCCTCTTCTGACCTCCTTGGCACCAGGCATGCACATGGTATACATGCACACAAGCAAGCAAAACAATCATGCACATAAAATAAAGTTAAAAATAACTACCTACCTACCTACCTACCTATCGACTGATCTTTGCAGCCCATGCCTGTAATCCCAAACACTTGGAAGACATTTGAGAGGAAAGGCATATGGATCTGTGAGTTCTAGACAACCTTGTCAACACAGAGAGGTCTTGTCTCAAACAAAGGTGTTATTTTTTCAAAGTTATTCGTCCTTCCGGGTGTGGTGACTTAACCTGCGATTTCAGCACAGGGGAGGCAGATACAGGAAGACCAGGAGCTTAAAGCTAGCCTTGACTATATAGTGACACTCTGTTTCAGACAATTCATGTTGATTGTCTTCTTTTGAAGACTTCTTTATGTGTATGAATTTTTGCCTGTATCCATGTATGTGCATGCCTGCAGGATCCCCTGGGAATTGAACCAGGATCCTCTGCAAGAGCAAGAAGTGCTCTTGACTGCTGAGCAACCTCCTGCTATCTAAGTTAATCTCTTTATTTTTGAAGGTTCGAAGGAGGCTGGCTGTTTTTGCTGGTATTGGGTTCAAGCCCATACCTGTACCCAGAGCAGTCAACCACAGTACCACTGAACTATGTCCCTGACCCCTAGTTTTAATCTTTCAATTATTTTTCCAAGTTTATAGCATCAAAACTTTTAACAAATATACTGAAGTTGCTGTAGCCTAAAGCATTACTTAGAGATATTAATGTCTAGTGCTATTTCTAATATTACTTTGGTGATATCCTGAGTTTAATTTTTCTCATCGCCTTCCAGAAGCTGCTATATTAATTTTCCTAATTACAATTCTATGTAGTTGTGTGCTATTTTTATTTTCTATCACTAAAGAATTGAATAGCACAACCAGTGTAAGTGATGTGGTAGTGTGTTGTCATATAAATGCCCAAGATACAGCTTCTAATGGTGAAAAACGGGAAAATAAATCGACCTTGATGAAGTGTGTCTTCTTTTGTCTGTTCCCAGGAAAGTTTATTTCAGGTATTTCCACTTCTGAAATGATTAGCGCTAACAGCTTTCCCCCTCCATTTTATTTTACAGGCTCTCTTCATCTTTCTGATATATGGGGTGTACAACACAGAGGTAAGTCAGCTTGGAGTAGCTCAAGGCTGACAGAGTGAATGAGAGAAATGACAGGTTTCTTATCTTGATAACTGAGGGACAAAGTTGGCTTTTCATATGCGTGTCCTACCGCCCTTCATGCTTGGACTAGCTTATATGCATCCCAGCTTACCATTAAACACTGACATCCAGAATAAAGGGACAGCCTCATTTCTCAATGGCATTGGCTGATATTTTAGTACTGCCTGAAGTTTTTGAATTTTCAATGTTTAACGCTTAACTATACTTGACAGTTTCAGGAAATACTTAAAGGTAGTTGCATAGGCTTAGAAAGATACAATGCCTACTCATAAAACACAGTTTTTAACTTTTCCAGGCAGACTCAGAGAGGCCTGTATTAGTAAATAATAATCTTCATGGCTTTAATTGTGAAATTTCTCAGGGAAGTTATTTAATTACTAGAAGTCATTTAGAGAAACATTATGAGAAAACAGACATGCAATTTAAGAAAACACACTATGTAAACAACTACTGTCCAGGCCCTTTGATTAAAAATGTCACGCCTTTGATCCCAGCACACAGGAAGCAGAGGCAGGTGGATCTTTGTGAGCTTGAGGCCAGCCTGGTCTACAGAGTGAGTTCCAGGACAGCTAGGACTGTGACACAGAGGAACCCTGTCTCAAAAACTAAAATAAAATAATTGATGTAATAATACTCCTAGAAAAGTTGCTGCTGCTTTAGATTTTTGCATGCTTACTGTTAAAGTGAGTGCCTTTTATACTTATTAGGCACATTATTTATATATTAAATACTTGCTTAGTTTTGTTTGTAGTACTTTTTTGTTATTTTTGTTTTTGTTTTTGAAGACAGGGTTTCGCTATAGTCCTGACTGTCCCAGGCTGACCTCGAACTCACAGAGCTCTGCCTGACTCTTCCTCCCAAGTGCTGGCATTAAAGGTGTGCGCCACCAAAACCCGGCTTGTTGGCCGAACTTTAATTTCAAATATTCACCCCTTTTAAATGGACAATTTTGCATGAGTCTCTAGGCATTCTATGCTGAAGGGGTGAGGAGGGTGGGGTATGTATCCTAGCAGAGCTCATAGAAAATAACGATAGCAAATATTTTACAAAGGAGGCTAGAGGGTAGTCAACGTGACAAGCAAATTCAGACAACTGAGAAAGTATGTGGCATTTAAATACCACATCTGATGATGAAGTGTGTGTGTGGGCGTGTTTTACAGGACGGCTGCACCTGAGATTACACGTGGTTTCCCTTTGCTGTAGCCTTGAGGTAGGTTGGCAGTGAGACAATTTTTTTTCCAACGGTACCTCTAAGGCGGTCTCAAGGACTCCTCCAGTAAATGCAAAGGCACGCGATATTTCTGTCCCCCGCTGAAAGGAAGGAGTAACAGGTATCTGCAAAAATGCTATTACGAGTTTAATACTTTCAGACAGGATCACAAGTGCCTCAAGGAATCCATTTCTAGATCTGATCTTGATTCAATACCTAGATCGCAAGCCCTAAACAACAGAAAACGCCAAAGTTCAGTCCTCAGTTTCTCCACCTTCTTCAACCCCTTTCTCTGCGGCTCCCACGCCACGCCGCCACACGCTCTCCCGGCGTCCCCCGACTTCCCGCCCCTCGGGTTCCACCTCCTGAACGTCTTTTCCCCAGAAACCCTCAGCCACTTTCTGCCCTCGACGCACCCACCAATCGCGTCCCCTCGCTACGGAAGCCCCTCCGCCGTCGGGCTCTAAGTCCCCGCCCCTCCTGCCCAGCCCCCAAGCAGCTCCGCCCAACCGCCCCCTTGATTGACAGGCCGGCCAGGCGGAAACTGCGGCGCAGGCGCACTGAGCCCACAGCGCTCTCCTCTGGTCCGGTCGAGGAGTTCCCGGCAGACACCGCGCCGCGGCTGCGCAGAAGCGGGGAGGCTTTTAATTCCATTGTGGAGAGGACGGCGTTATTTTTATTAACTGGAGGCGACGGCGGCTGCGGCGGCGGCGGAACCCGTAAGTGTGGCCGGCGGGCCGGGGCGGGCGCGGGGGCGGCCAGGAAGGCCGCGGGGTCGAGCGCGCAGGGCCGGAGGCGGCGGGGCTGCGGACGGGCGCCGGGCGCGGTGCGGGCTGGGCGGCGGCGCGGCGGGTCCCAAACGCTGCGGTGGTCCCGGCCCGGGGCCCGGCCCTACCGCCGTTCCCCCTCTTCCCTCCTCTCCCTCCTCTCCGCAGCCAGGCCTCCTCCGGGGTATGAAAATCGGCAGCGGGTTCCTCAGCGGCGGCGGCGCTCCCGGCAGTAGCGGTGGTAGCGGCTCCGGCGGCAGCTCCGGCGGCGGCGGCGGCGGCGGCGGCAGGAGAGCCGAGATGGAGCACACCTTTCCCCAGGGTATGGTTATGTTCAACCACCGGCTCCCCCCGGTCACCAGCTTCACCCGGCCGGCGGGGACGGCCGCCCCTCCCCCGCAGTGCGTGTTATCCTCCTCTACCTCCGCAGCCCCGGCCGCAGAGCCCCCCCCTCCGCCAGCCCCGGACATGACTTTCAAGAAGGAGCCGGCGGCGTCAGCCGCGGCCTTCCCTTCGCAGAGGACCTCCTGGGGATTCTTGCAGTCCTTGGTGAGCATCAAACAGGAGAAACCTGCGGATCCCGAGGAGCCCCAGTCCCACCACCACCACCACCACCACCACTATGGGGGGCTGTTCGCTGGGGCCGAAGAGAGATCACCAGGCCTAGGAGGCGGGGAAGCGGGGAGCCACGGCGTCATCCAAGACCTCAGTATTCTCCACCAGCATGTCCAGCAGCAACCAGCCCAGCACCACCGTGATGTGTTATTGAGCAGCGGTAGCAGGACTGATGACCATGGCAGTGAGGAGCCAAAGCAGGACACTAACGTCAAAAAGGCAAAGAGGCCAAAGCCAGAATCTCAGGGAATCAAAGCCAAGAGGAAGCCAAGTGCATCTTCCAAACCTTTGGTTGGAGATGGAGAAGGTGCCGTCCTCTCCCCAAGTCAGAAACCTCATATCTGTGACCACTGTAGTGCTGCTTTCCGGAGCTCCTATCACCTGCGGAGACACGTCCTTATTCACACGGGAGAAAGACCTTTCCAGTGCAGCCAGTGTAGTATGGGTTTCATTCAGAAATACCTGCTGCAGAGACATGAGAAAATCCACAGTCGAGAGAAACCCTTTGGATGTGACCAGTGCAGCATGAAGTTCATTCAGAAGTACCATATGGAGAGACACAAGAGGACACATAGTGGAGAAAAGCCATATAAGTGTGACACTTGCCAACAGTATTTTTCAAGGACTGACAGATTGTTGAAGCACAGGCGCACGTGTGGTGAAGCCATAGCAAAAGGAGCCGCTAGTGCAGAACCTGGGTCATCAAACCATAATAACATGGGTAATCTGGCTGTGTTGTCTCAGGGAAATACAAGTTCTTCAAGGAGAAAATCGAAGTCAAAAAGCATAGCTGTTGAAAATAAGGAACACAAGACTGGCAAAACAAACGAATCACAAATGTCGAACAATATTAACCTGCAGAGTTACTCAGTGGAAATGCCTCCTGTGTCTCCCAGTGGAGGCATAATTGGCTCTGGGATAGACGAACTACAGAAAAGGGTGCCAAAACTGATCTTTAAGAAAGGAAGCAGAAAGAATACAGATAAAAGCTACCTTAATTTTGTGTCACCATTACCAGATGTCGTTGGGCAGAAATCCTTGTCTGGTAAACCAAGTGGCTCACTTGGCATAGTATCAAATAATAGTGTGGAGACCATTGGTCTTCTCCAGAGTACAAGTGGCAAACAAGGTCAGATAAGTAGTAATTATGACGATGCCATGCAGTTTTCAAAAAAGAGAAGATACTTACCAACCGCCAGCAGCAATAGTGCCTTTTCTATAAACGTAGGACACATGGTCTCCCAACAGTCAGTCATTCAGTCTGCAGGTGTCAGTGTTTTGGACAATGAAGCGCCATTGTCACTTATTGACTCCTCAACTCTAAATGCTGAAATTAAGTCTTGTCACGACAAGTCTGGAATTCCTGACGAGGTCTTACAAAGTATTTTGGATCAGTACTCCAGCAAATCAGAAACGCAGAAGGAGGATCCTTTCAATTTGACAGAACCACGAGTGGATTTACATGCCTCTGAACACTCAGAATTGGTTCAAGAAGAAAATTTGAGCCCAGGCACCCAAACACCTTCAAATGATAAAACAAGCATGTTACAAGAATACTCCAAATACCTCCAGCAGGCTTTTGAAAAATCCACTAACGCAGGTTTTACTCTTGGACACGGTTTCCAGTTTGTCAGTTTGTCTTCACCTCTCCACAACCATACTTTGTTTCCAGAGAAACAGATATACACTACATCTCCTTTGGAGTGTGGTTTTGGCCAATCTGTTACCTCAGTGTTGCCATCTTCATTGCCAAAGCCTCCTTTTGGGATGTTGTTTGGATCTCAACCAGGTCTTTATTTATCTGCTTTGGATGCTACACATCAGCAGTTGACACCTTCCCAGGAGCTGGATGACCTGATAGAGTCTCAGAAGAGCTTAGAGACATCGTCAGCCTTCCAGTCCACATCTCAGAAATTGACTAGCCAGAAGGAACAACCGAAAAGTTTAGAGTCCTCAACAAGCTTTCAGATTCCATCTCAGGAGTTAGCTAGCCAGATCGATCCTCAGAAAGACATAGAGCCTAGAACAACATACCAGATTGAGAACTTCGCACAAGCATTCGGTTCTCAGTTTAAGTCGGGCAGCAGGGTGCCAATGACCTTTATCACTAACTCTAATGGAGAAGTGGACCATAGAGTAAGGACTTCAGTGTCAGATTTCTCAGGGTATACAAATATGATGTCTGATGTAAGTGAGCCATGTAGTACAAGAGTAAAAACACCCACCAGCCAGAGTTACAGGTAAGGTCTCAAGAGTGACCAGGCTGGAAGTCTTCTAATGTAATTTCGTTTTATTTTGAGAACACTGCCATTGGAATGTTTCTACACGATCCTATTAAGAATAATGTAATGCCCTTTCAATGCAACTTTTCATATTTAGTTTATTTTGTTAGTGTGATTTTAGCTGTTTGTATTATGATTTTTAATCAAAATCAATAGATTAAAAATAGTTTGACATTCAAAGTGACAATGTTTAGCAATCAAATTTACATGTATAGATTGTCAGGGAATAGCCCAAAAGTTTTAAATGCAAAAAAAAAAAAACTACAGGAAAAAAAAAGAAAAGAAAAAAGGAAAAAAAAACCTTTGTTGCTAGGATTAAGGTTATTCTAATTGCTTTACTCTCAGGAAAGTGTAATAACGCATGGGAATTCTGTACGTTATCACCGTAATGGAATATCCAATTTACAAATAGTATGATACACATTTCATTGTTTAAGTTAAGGGATCTTTAACATTTCAGATTGCTCTTTCTGGGCTGATAGAATATACATTTCATCATTTAAGTAAGGGATCGAAAACATTTCAAATGCTATCTGTCTGGGCTGATCCAAAATTCTGAGATTGTTGGCTACCTATATTTTGTTGCAGCTTTTAAATGTACTCCAAACTTCCAAACCCACATTCATTCCAGCTTGGTAGGACAAATATTCTTGGATCTTTGATCAAAGCCTGGAATGATAGCTTTAATAAAAGAAAGAGGAGAAGAAAGCACCCTCTTTCTCCAACTCTTAACAAGGCTGTAATTCCATTAAGTGACTCTGTTCGTCTAGTACAGTGTTAAAACCCAAGTGGTTGGTTGGTTTCAGTATTAGAAAGTAAGTTGGATTCGCGTAATACATTGAAATTTGGGGTATGCATTATTCATTATACATGGCCTAAAAACATTCTCTCACTTATGCTATTACGTACCACCTTCACTTCTGGTTTTTGGTACTTGTTCTTAACTTCCTCTTCAAGTTCTAGGCCTTCTTGTTCCTTCTCCCTGTCGTGATGGTTTCAATTTTAGAGTGATTTATCATCTAGTAGATGATTGATTATGCATTTTATATGTCTTGTGGCATCTAAATACTAAACATTAGGGTAAGCATCCCTGACTTCATCTTTTTTTTTAACAAGCCCAATACAGATTTCCATGTACAAGCTATAGATATTAAAGGGTTGTAATTCCACCTGGTAGCATAGCTTGTGTAACCAATAAGAGTGTATATTTACTAATGACATCAGAACTCTTTGTGAAATTGCAGCCTTTAATGTACATTTTGAAGGGGTGTATGAGTCAGTATTGTACAGGGATCTTGTAAAGTCATCAAAACTTGCTATGAACGCTAATTGCCATTTGAAGCTACTGATAGGCAGTGGCTCAGCTCTAAACCACTTTTTAGCAATTGTATTTTTTTCCTGATTATATTTTTTAATGTACTTTGATGTTTATGCTGATGAGTTTTTTTATGTACTTTTGGTGATGTTTCAGTCTTATGAACTCTTCTGATGTCAGAAAAGTACCACTGGTTGTTTGCAGTCTTATTGTGTAATCAGCCTACCACAGGCTTCCATGTATAATAAAGTAATTAATATTGTGCAAG